CAGGCCTGGAATAGATTTACCCCAGAGTTGGTGCAAGCACCTACTCAGGCATCCAAATGTTTCTTGAAAGTGTCCAGTCTTGCTGGGTTCCTTTGACCCTAGCTGACTTCTTGCCCCTTGGCCAGGGAGCTGGACCCAATGATATTGCGAGGTCTCTTCCAGCCCTAATGTCTATGAATCTATAAATAGGATCTTTTTAAGAAAGCTTATGTTAAAACATCCTTGAATAGAGAGTAGCAAATTTGCAGATAGTCCAATTTAATTAGAATAGTCAAGACTAGAGAGGATTAAGGAAGATCAGTATGTAACAGTACCTGAAATTATGTGGGGTTAAATGCAAGGTGTTCCATTCTGGATGCAAGAATTTGGACTACAATATACATCACTAGATATTAAATGTTTTGAGATATCCAGTCAGGAGAAATCCTGAAATTGCTGTGGGTGGCTCAGTGAAAATATTTTGATTGTTGTTCAGTGTGAGTAAAAAGACAACAATGTTTGGGTATGTAAAGAATACAGTGGAAACTGTTGAAGAGATTATAATTCTGTTTTATAAAAACGAACAGTAGACCCTCTGTTCAAGTAGTGTGCCCTGTTCTGGTAAGCACCTTTAAAAAGATCTTGCAAGTTTAGATGTTAAAATTGGAAAACGGAGGATGATCATGATGATTTGTATTACAGAAACATCTAGAGACTGCCTCCCAACAACTTTTTATGCAAATCACCACGCTACCAGCAAAAAAGGCTGTCCTCCTCCCCCTTCCGCACCTCCTTCAGAGACCTTATATTTTAAGTAGGGAGGTAGAATTCAGAAGAGTGGAGGAATGGGATATGTCATTTACAGAGGACATGAATAAAAAGGACACGACAATATGTCAAAAAAGGGTAAATGGGAACAGCCAGTTCATTTTATTGAAATAGAACAAAGAATGGAATTTGAACATAAAAATATGAAATGATACATTAAAAGAATTCCTTTTTTTTTTTTTTTTTTTTTTTTTTTTACATGGTACATAATTACTATGTAGAAGTTGGGTAGAAAAGACTAAATAGGCTTTTTAAAATTATTTGTTTCTGTATATCATGACAACATACCTAGTTATGTTTAGGATGACAGCCATTAGTAGTGTTTTAATAGACAGGTAAACCCTTATGTTTGAGGGCATAAACTGACCAATAACTGAACATGGTATAGGAAAAATTCTAGACTTTTGTGGACATCTTCCACACAGGTATTTTATTACAAAACTAGCATTGGGATGGAAAACTACCATTCTATTGGATATGCACTGGCCACTGTCTGACAGGATTCTGAATGAAATGGCCTATTGATCCTATATGGCAGTTTATGCTCCCCTATCTTTATTTGGGTGAGGGGAAATATAGAATTATTACAAGGTATCTTTTTCTGGCTTAATATAAATGTTCTAAAATACTTGAGAGACCCTTCATAAAAATAGGTTGTGTAGACTAGTGGTCTTTAAGTAGTCTGCAGTTTCTGTGGATGGATATGCCACATCCATATTGTGTGAAGAAGCATAGGTTAACATCACTTCAAAGGAAATATAATTAATCTTCATGGCAAAAGTACAGTGTAATATCTTTCCAGATATGCAAAAATTGATCCTTCTTTGTTCTGAATACTGTGCAAATGGTTACAAAATCCATAATAGGCAGAGGGATATGATAAACCTGGCTTCCTCTTATTTCATTGCTTTTATCTCAAAAGATCCTCTACCATTATTCATATCAATATCTGAAGAACACTCTATGAAGGATCATTTAAGATGCTCATTTTAGTTGTTTATATTACTCTAATTCATATGAAGTTCTTTTTGTATGTTGATTCTCTGTAACAGTATTTTGTTCCTGAAATGTTTAGATATACATCCATTATATTTTTAGCAAGCAAAATAAAATGTTTTTTCAGAGAGATGTTAAACAGCTTCAGCTCAAAGCATTATTCAAATACTTTAGCTGGCCATTGCGGGGCAAGCAGGGGAAGGACGAACAAGCACTTAGCTCCCCCATGAGCAGGGGAAACCATGACATTTACCTTTTTGGACATGGACACGCCTATCCGTAGCTCCTTGTGCAACAGGAGAAGAGTGAGCACTTAACTCCACATACAAGGACCAGCAGGGACAAATTCCTCCTTCCCCTTTTCTTTCAACTATCAGATACTGTATGTACCTATGTTTGTTTAGGGAATTCATAAGTAATTTAATAGCAGGCTTGTAAAGTGGGGTTTTTTTACCGCCCCCCCCGCCCCCCCACGCGCACACATTATACAGCCAGATTAAAACAGTTTTTATAATAACATTATTTTAACTCTAAGTGTTGTTAATTAATTTAGGTCTATATAATGGGTTTTACTCTTGCTGTATCAAGACAGGCAGGAAACCCTTTAAAGTTTCTCTTAAGGCTTAAATTAAATCTCACTTCTGTAGATGTGTTCTTATTACAATAAATGTGGGGGGAAAAGACACTTCCACTCTGTCATCCTTTTACCTCTCCCCAACTTCACTGAACTATGGGAAAATGTCATATGTTCAGTTCAATTTACCCTTGCTGTGCTAAACTGCTGTGACTGCATATTATCTGTATTTTCAGCATCTCAAAAGAGCATTATGTTGCCTCCTTTTTTTCTCAAGTAAGAAAAGCTACTGTGGGAGCAAATAACAGGTAGTCCTGCTTCATCCTTAATCTTGTCTTTCACAGTGGGGGGAAAAGCATAGGATATGGCTCCAAATGGATGAGCATTCCCCAAGACTCCAGTCTACAGTCTCATCCTTAAACCATTAAGAAGAGCTGAAGGATGTTCTAACATCCTGGTGGCTCAAATTTTATGACCGAATTAACACTTACCAGCTGAGCTACCATTCTTCGGTTGTGGTAGACAAGCCAGCGCATTGTGCTGTAGTATAGTACTTGATATTCTCTTCGGCTAGCAAACAAAGGAATATCAAAGCAAATAAGTTCTAGTTATTTTGCACAGTTAGAATAAACAGGAGTGACAATAATTTAAATCTTCCAGTTAGGAAAATTGAAGGAAATTTTGCAGGGCCTTTACTGCCACTTTCTAGATTTGTTACAGTGAAGGAATTTGCCATTTTAAAAAATATTCCTTTTAAGAGTTATCCTTCTTTTTTTGCCTAGACACCCTTTCTAATGTTTTTAGCAGCTTCTGTCTCTGTAGCTTACAGTACCACTTATATCATTGCTTACATCAAAATCCTTGCAATTCACTTTCAGAGATTAATCTGCATTATGCCATATTCCTTTTGAATTTAAAACACCGTATTTAAAAGTAAATATTTCTTCTAAAAACAGAAAAATGGTTTGTGTCTTAAATACAACTTTAAATAAACAGTAAATTAGTATATGTTATTTACTATAATGTTTTACTAAATACTGTAAAATAAATGTGGTGCCCTATTAAAAGCATCAACAAAAGACTTGAGTGCAAGAGGATACGTGAACAGAAGCATGACAGTATTATTTTTCATCAGTACTGTAGCTCTTACATGCTCCATTTAAGGTTGCACCCTTGTAGATGCACCTTTTTATTTGATTTTTTTCTCTTAAATTGAGTCAGAAAATGTGGGCGTGTCTTTAATTCCTGGCCTCCTTTAATTAAAAGGAATATAGCAACTTAGAGTAAATGCAACTGAAATGCTACTATATGAAGTTAAATTGTAGAGATGGGCCTGGAAATAGTTTCTAAAGTTTTCTTGTTTAACTGTTCTGAGTGCAAGATGGTTCCCTACTATACAGTTTTTAGTATTCTTCTCCAATTTTTTTTTTAATTATATTTATGGGAGGTTATTCCACAGGCCACTAAACATTACCAGGAGAGGTGACTGGAGGATGAGAAGCTCATTTTGGAGTAAATGTTGATGTTTTTATTTTACATTAGCATATAAACTGAAACCATTGTATGCATGTTTTGTCCAAATAATGATATCAGTATCTATGTTCAGACGAACACGAGTTTTTCAATCCAGCAAGGTGTGTGTCAGTTTGTACAGACCTTATTTAGTAACTGGCCCTGGGAGTTCTGGGTTCAGGTCCTTCTCTTGCCTGATTTTGAAACAGACTTCTTTTTTTAAATCTCAAGTCACTAATTTGGACAGGACAGGAGCTGAAATGAGCATGTCCTATTAATGATATTTTCCTGAGTGAATGTTTTCTTCTAATGAGACTAAATTTAGTTTCTTTCCATCTCCCCTAGTACCATGTAGCCAGTGAGACCCATACTTAGATTCCTTCTGCTTCATTTTCTTAACAAATGAAGTATTAAATTTTTTAGCAGCTACATTTATAGAGATTGTGACATTGGTTGAAGATGGCCCCTGTCTCAAAGTGCTTCATTTTTGGATATGGACACAGAAGTACAGAAAGTGTTTGGATACATCCAGGAACAAATAGGTTGAAGGGTCTGGCTTCTGATTCCCACCCCCTGCCACCCATATTCTCTCTGTTATTGAATGGCACAGAAATGAGTTTTCAGATGTCTGAAGGAAGAGACAATCACCCCAGTGAACTGGGATTGGGAAGGCATTGCCTGCATTGGGACAGAATAGAAGTCACAAATGAGGTTAAGAATAGAGGACTAATGTAATGGTGGTGTATTTGTTACAAATTTAAACTCACTGGGCAGGCATATATGCATCGTTGATTTAAACTAACTGTAGTGATATCTTGTTATAACAATCTGTAAAACTTTACATATTCACTACTTGTAAGATGAGTAATTAAAAATACTATAACTAGGAATAATGTCATTATTGCTGAGAAGTTTGAATCAAGACAGTTTTATTTACTTTTCCATTTCTGTAATGGGGTATAATGTGGTCAGCATTTGATCGATTGTTTTTGAGAATATATAGCTCACTAATGGTATTTAGGGTGTTTTAATATTTACAAATAACACTAAGGATTTATGGTTCTTTGATATAAACCATTTAAAAATGCTTCTGCTTCCTTCCCCCTTACAGGTAAAAGCAATACTTCCAGATTCACATAAGTGGCCAGTTCAGAACTAAAGAAGATGTTATAAGGACCCATTATACTGGTAGAAATTTCAAAAATATGCTACTCTGACAAGTCCAACTGTACTCTGCTAAGACTATAACTGTATTTTACTCTTCAGTTCTCTGTTTCATAAAAGACAATGTAATAACAGCAGTACCAGTCTTTCAGGTAAGACTAGGTGCTCCCTTACCCTTGAGTGGACATGAGCGATCAAAGGTCTTTGCAAGAAGATAAGCACAAACCCAGCAGAACCTCCTTAAAGTTCAAGGAGACTTCAAGAATTATGGAGACTGATGACTACTTTGCTAGAAAACTTAAAGTTTTGAATGGTAACATGGGTCCTACTTCTTTAAATGCCTCTGGCAAACATGAAAGTAATCAAAATAATGGTACACCTGCTATGCCTAAAATGGGTGTTCGTGCTAGGGTATCTGAGTGGCCTCCTAAAAAAGATTGCTCTAAGGAGTTAGGTAAAGCTACTTGGGAAAGTAGACCTCAAACCAGTTACGAGAGTGTTGGATCAATACTTCCAAATGGACAAAATGACCAAAGTGATGGACAACAAGAACAATTAGATTTGCAATTTGCAGAGGCCAAATATACCATAGGAGATCTTTTTGTCCATTCTCCCCAAAGGGGACTTCACCCTATAAGGCAAAGAAGCAACAGTGATGTCACCATAAGTGATATTGATACTGAGGATGTATTGGACCAGAATGCTGTTAACCCAAATACGGGAGCAGCTCTTCATAGGGAATATGGAAGTACTTCTTCAATTGATAGACAAGGTTTGTCTGGTGAGAATTTTTTTGCAATGCTCCGAGGATATCGAGTGGAAAACTTTGAACACACAACTCTTGCTCCATTTGGATTTCCTGAATTTTTCCACTGTGACTCTACAATTTCTCCAAGTCTTCATGCAGCTGCACAGATTTCCAGAGGAGAATTTGTCAGGATTTCTGGATTGGATTATATGGATAGTGGCCTGCTTATTGGTAGGGACAGGGATAAATCTTTCAAAAGGAGATTAAAATCAGAAGCAGTAGAAACATCTCTATTTAGAAAACTGCGGACTGTTAAAAGTGAGCATGAAACTTTCAAATTTTCATCTGAACTGGATGATGGAAGACTTGAGAGAAACATTCGTTCTTGGAACTGTCAGAAGTGTTTCGCCCATTATGATGTTCAGAGCATTTTATTTAACATAAATGAAGCAATGGCTACCAGAGTTAATGTGGGAAAAAGAAAAAATATAACCACTGGGGCTTCAGCTGCATCCCAAACTCAAATGCCAGCAGGCCAGACAGGAAATTGTGAATCTCCTTTGGGAAGTAAAGAAGACCTTAATTCAAAAGAGAATCTAGATGCTGATGAGGGTGATGGGAAAAGCAATGACCTAGTGTTGAGTTGCCCTTACTTCAGGAATGAAACTGGTGGGGAAGGAGATAGAAGAATTGCACTTTCTAGGGCAAACTCAGCATCATTTTCTTCAGGTGAAAGCTGTTCCTTTGAGTCCTCTCTAAGTTCCCATTGCACGAATGCTGGTGTTTCAGTACTGGAGGTGCCAAGAGAAAATCAGCCAATTCACAGGGAGAAAGTGAAGCGATATATCATCGAACACATTGATCTTGGAGCATATTACTACCGAAAGTTCTTCTATGGAAAAGGTAAAGTCTCCCTTTGTATTTTCTTTCTCCCCAGTTGTGTACATAGTGGGTTTAATTGATGTTGATATATTTAACTCTTTATAAAAGGGTCTTTCCTTTTAAGGTAGGAGAGTCAAAGATCCAGCCAGATCCAGTGCATGGAGCTTTATCATCCAGCCCTCAGTGCTGCTTGCTGCAATGCAGCATGTCCTGGAACTGGCCTACATGCTGCATACCGAGTGCAGAGCCAATCTGGTATGGACTGCACATGGTGCATGGTTGGACTAGGGTATGCACTGCCTACGGTGTGAATATTGGATCTGAGTCAGTCCAGATTGGGTCTCTAGATGGGTTGCCTGTGCTGGATTCAGCACACAGGGCCAGTCTGGTATGGGTGCCACTCTCAGTGCATACTCTGGACCAGCCCTGTTCACATACTGGAGGCAGTGCATGCTGCACACAGCACATGAGGCTGATCCAGGGCATGAAGTGTATGTGTTGTATACATTGCATTGACCAGCTCTGTATGCTGGATCCATTGCACAGGGCTGGTCTGGGATGGGCGCTCCATGCAGTGTGTGCTCCCGCTGGGCCCTATGTGCTATGTGTGGGCCCAAGGCAGGAGCATGCTGCATGCATGGAGCTGGAACTGGCCTGCAGACTGGTTCCATGCCCTTCCTCTAGCCTGTGGGGCTGATGAGTTTGACACCCCTGCCTTAAGGTTTTAAAAACATCTTACAAAAATCGAATCTGTCAAGAGCCCTGTGAGAGTTGCAAGTATTATCAACTGTGCTTGCAACTGGAGCATCTTTTGATAATGAAGCCCAGCAAAATTATATGCTTTCCTAAAGTCGCTAAGTAATATGTAGTGATATAGTGTAAAGCAGTTTCTTATTTCGGGCTTAATGGGGAAAACATCGTGTATATATTTTTTTCATCAGACTTCCTTACTAATGAAGTCTAAAACCTTAGAGGAGATCTTATTTTTTTGAGGATTTTCAATCCAGTTAACTAGTACTTGGCTAATAGCTCAGATCCCTCCCCTAGACTCCAAAGTACTTTAACAACATCTTCTACTGTTAGTTTTATTTGCTTCTGTCCCTTATTGTTTCTTAGCATTTTTTTTTCAATCATACTTGCCTCAATGCTTTCTGTCTTCCTTGCTAAACTCCTCCCTCTCTTTTCTTCATGTATCTCACATACTCTTATCTGTACATTCCTTTCTCTGTCACCGTGTTCAAAAGCTCTACATTGTAATAGCCAGTCTTCTAGTTAGGAGTAATTGGCCCTTTTCTTTCAGGGTTGTTCAGTACTGCACAGTGCAGTGCTTGGTAGAGATACCTAACCTAGAATATCCTCAGTAGAGGGAAAAAATACCTACTTTCCAGCACTATAGAAAGTATAGCTCTGGGGGGGGGGGTTTGTGGTTTTTTTGTTTTTTTATCACTGTCATCAGTCGCTGTTTCTCTCCATAAAAAGGCCGTCTGATATGTAGGAGCCTTTCTAATATTGCATATCCTGTGACTTCCTAAATGCATCTGAACAGCAGGAAGCTCTTTACTGAATGATTTGCTACTTCTTCCTCTGACCATGTGCAAAGGATTCAAAGGGGATTTCAGTACAGTTCTTGCTTCTCACATGCTTTGGACAGCTGAGAGTAGAGACTTGTGGGGTAAATAATCAGTGAGGGCTGAGAGTCTGTTCAGTAGTGGGAAGGAAGCAAAAATATGGAGACCTCTTATGGGAGGAGGTAAAGAATTAAAAAATAAAGGCTCCTTGTGTACAAAGAAGGACTAAGATTCAAGTATACTGATTGCTCTTAAGCTTTGTGAGATGTTGAGGAGAAGGAGCTGCTGGGGGCCAAGGGTTGAGGAGGTATAAAAGGACACTGACACTAGAGGGCTGACATGATTGAAGAGACTTAGAGGAGAGAAACTCATCTATAGGGAAATGGGGGACAGAGGGATGATTGAGGGAAGAGTCGGTATGAATAAAAGGTAAGTGTGGGGAAGAATAAAGGGAAAACTGTTAAATGGTTTTCAAATTCAATAATTACAGTAATGATCTGAATCCAAAATGATTTCATATTTAAGATATCACTCCAGAATAACCATATTTACCTGAATCTGAGACCACCCTGAATTTAAAATCACACCCCAAATAATTAGATTCTATACATGGAAAATGTATACATTTTGTTATAATTTGTTATAATTTTCCATGTATAGAATCTAATTATTGGGGGTTTGTATTTTAAATGCATTCCCACACTGCAGGGGTGAGGGGCCAGACCTCCGCCCCTTGCCCTCGCTGCTCAGCCTCCTTCCCCTTGCCTCCACTTTGTGTACCTGTCCCCCTGCCACTTGCCCCATCACGACCCTGCCACCTGTCCCTCATGCCTTTGCCTGTCCCCTGCTGCTTTCCTCCCCTCACTGTTTGCCCCTCCATGCCTGTGCCTGACCCTGGTCCCCTCCTGTTACAAAACATGATTGGTCAGAAGGAAATAAAACACAGTCTGGCAAGGCAAGTTGCTCAGGACCACTTCAGAGAATATAGTTTACAGATTCCTGATTGTTATTCTGAAAAGTTCACTAGTTGGTAGGGTTGGAAGGGACCTAAGCAGATCATCAAGTCCGACTCCTTGCTGTGGGCAGGAAAGAATGCTAGGGTCAAACAACCCCGGCTAGGTGATTTATTTAGCCTCCTTTTGAAGCCCCCCAGAGTAGGAGCGAGCACCACTTCCCTTGGAAGTTGGCTCCAGTTCCTAGCCACCCTGACTGTGAACTAGTGCCTCCTGATGTCTAGCCTGAATCTACTCTGTCAACTTATGGCCATTATTCCTTGTTACTTCTGGTAGTACATGGGGGAACAGGGACTCTCTCATTGCCTGCTGGTTCCCCTCGGCAAGTTTATAGGCAGGCACCAGATCCCCTCTCAGCCTTCTTTTGTGGAGGCTGAACAGGTTCAGGTCCCATATCCTCTCCTTGTAGGGCCTGCCCTGCTGCCCCTGATCATGCAAGTAGCCCCTCTGGACCCTCTCGATGCTGTCCACATCCCTCCTGAAGTGCGGTGCCCAGAACTGGATGCAGTACTCCAACTGCAGCCTAACCAGTGTTGCATAGAGGGGTAGGATCACCTCCTTGGACCTGCTCATGATGCATCTGTGGATGCATGACAAGGTGTGGTTAGCCTTCCTGACTCTGTCCCCCACATTGGCGGCCCATGTTCATCTTGGAATCAATAGTGAATCCAAGATCCTTTTCTGCCTCTGTGCTGACAAGAAGGGAGTTCCCCAGCCTGTAGGTATGCTGCTGGTTCTTCCTCCCTAGGTGCAATACCTTGCACTTGTCAGTATTGAAACCCATCCTATTCTCATCCGCCCACCTCTGTAACCTGTCCAGATCTAGTTGTAGACTGTCCCTCTCTTCTAGCGTGCCCACTTCTCCCCACATCTTAGTATCATCTGCAGATTTGAACAAGGTGCGTTTCATCCCCTCATCCAAGTCGCTGATGAAGATGTTGAACAGTGCGGCCCGAAGACCGAGCCCTAGGGAACCCCACTGCCCACAGCCCTCCAGGTCGAAAATGACTTGTCCACCACTACTCTCTGGTTGCGGCCCTCCTGTCAATTTGTCACCCATCTGACTCTGTAGGCATCGACACCACAGTTGCCTAATTCTTTTAATGAGGATGGGGTGAGATACCGTGTCGACGGCCTTCCTACAGTCCAGGAAGACTATGTCCACCGCGACACTTACGTTCAAGGATTTTGTAACCTGACATGAATGAAATTTATTTTAGTTAAGGTTTGTTCTGATGCCTGTGGAAACACATTTACAAGATGTCTACTAGAAACAGAGCATGTTTTTGTTGAATATACTGAACAAAATCTAAAATACGAAATGAAGAAGTTAACTATATGATAGCAGTTTAAAGATAATTTGGTAGTCTTGGTCTTATTTCCAGGGGGCAGGTCTTAGTGCTGTACAATCATAGTTGTCACTAATTGGTCCCTAGGTTATCCTTCTCAGTCTGTGTTGTGTAACTTGCTTAGTGAAGTGTTAGATAACGTGTTGTCTAGTTGTTCTTTAGGTTCACCAGTTCTAGAATGTGCTCTTTATAGACTACTGAAATCGGAGATGCATAAGTTGTCCTGAGCAAGAGCTCACTACATTGCATGCTGTGAAAAGAAATGCAAAGAGCAGACTATTAAATGGAACGTGACTTAAATACAGAAGGCAAGTGGAAGGAGGGAGCTCCAGATCCTTCATCTAAGCATCTCAGTCAGATAAGGGTATAACCTAGAGCTTGGTTGTAGATCAGGCTTGGCAAAATGCAGCCTGCCAAGGGATTCTGTCTGGCCCTTGGCAGGTCTGGCAGGTCCTTTGGCCTTACTTAGTCCAGGCATGGTGGGGGGAAGGGGAGCCTGGGACATGGCATATGCATCCCTAGATGTGCAGCAGGGTGGGGGTGGCACTGAAGCTAGATTTGGCTTCCTGGCAGCCCTCACAGAGGTGGCTCAATCTGCCGGCTACTGCTGCTAGTGTCTCTGCTGCTACTGCCAGACCCAGTCCTGCTGCCCAGGCACCCCGACCTGTCTGCCCTGCGCCAAGCGCTGGGGATGCCAAATGGAGCGTGCATGTGAGTGGGGTCTCCATAGAGACTGTCCCAGGACCCTGCAGGCAGGGTGTGTTTGGCTGGGCAGATAGCATAGGGCTGTGGGCTGACAGGGAGCGGTGTCTTGGAGTGGGATGGGCAGGCAGGGCTTGGGCTGGGGCTGGGATCTCAGGGTAGTGACAGCATGGGGCTTGGGCTTGGGCTTGGGCTCGGGCCAGAGCCGTGGCACCCATCCTTGTACCCAGCTGGATGCAGTGCCTTCTGTCGCACCTGCTGCAGTAGCTGCCGCTGCTGCTGCTTGTGATGCCTGTGTGTACCCCCTGGTCAGACCTATGGCAGATGCAGAGCCTGGCAGGGGCAAGGTAGAGGGGGTGTGGGGCAGCTCTCCCAAGCCTGCAACTCAG